ACGAAGGTTTAGTACAAGAGAAAACGGTAGTATATAGCCTTGGATTTCTCTAGAACCTTTGAGAAGTGTAAAGAACAAAAATTTCAGCAAAATTTCAAAAAAAAAATTTAGGTATTGTTCACGCAGACTTTACTGTTCATGCCAGATTTACTGTTCACACCAACTTTACTGTTTACTTTTTTTTTTAATAATTTCAAACTCCATCTAAATCTATTCCAATACCAAATAATCCTTCAATTAATATTTAATAGGTATAAAACATTATATAGATTACTCAATAATAAATTACAGGCGTGACATCTAGTAATGTTGAATGATTTAAGAATAATATTTTAATTTGGAATTTTTCTAGATTTGGTAATAATTCTCCCAAAAGAAAAGAATTTTTAATAGGATAGAGGGAATATATAAAAGATTACATATGGTAATAACCCCTTTTTATTAGACATTTTCTCCAAATTATGGCAAGAATATGAAAGTATCCTAGACCAGGAAGAGGCTTATTGGTATTATTAAACTAGGTCTAAATGTATTCATCTTGGTGATAGTAATAATAGGTTTTTCTACCAAGCTGTTGTTATTTGTAGGTAGGAAAAATTAAATAAAATTTCTTAAAGAATCTAAGGAACAATGGTATTATGACCCTAATCAACTCAATAGTCTTGCTCAAAATCATTTTAAACGCTTGTTTTCTTATCAATCATATGATTCTTTTCCTTTTGATTGTTTAGTGACTTTTAACAACATTAATAATATTTATATGGATATTATAAACAAGGCTAGTTTTTTTGGATGAAATTAAATATGTTATTTTTAGTACAGGAAATTACAGGTCTCTAGGCTTAGATGGTTTGTATGCTATGTATTTTAAATCTAATTTGGAATTACTGTATTCTCATATTTCTAAGTTTATTGATGAAGTTTTTATTGATCCTACAAAAATAGTCATTATAAACCAAACTGTATTAATCCTTATTTCTAAAGGTTTACATCCTAAATACATTCATCAATTTAAACCTACATATTTATGTAATGTGATTTATAAAATTGTAACTAAAATTTTATCTATTAGAATAAAATATCTTCTTCCCTTTTTCGTGTCTGAGAATCATGTAGTTTTATGCCAACAAGACAAGAAATTGACAATGTTATCATTCTCCAAGAATTAATTCATTCCTTTAAAGCTTTGAAAGGTGAAAAGCAATTTATGATTTTAAAACTTAATATCAATAAAGCATATGATAGAATCAAGTGGTGCTTTATTAAATGAACTTTAGATAAAGTAGGTTTTGGTAAGGTCTGGCCTGAGTTAGTTTACAACTATATATCTTCTTCCCTTCAAATCATTGGAATGGTAAGTTGTTAGAAAGTTTTTTTGGCTTTTAGCAGTATTAATTACCTTCATGGCAAACCTCAAAATTCTTTCCTAAAGTGAATGCTTGGTGCCATAGAAATGATTATTCTTCCTTATCCACTTGGACTTCCATGAATATATGCAGAAATTGAGTCCAAATAAAGCAATTTTTCCTTTACAAAAATTATGAACAAATCATCAATCAAATAATGAGTCAAGTGTAGAACAAAGTGTTTCTGCAGCATGAACTAAGCAACATGACTAGTAACACAGCTCAAATGAAAGAATGCTTATTAAAATTAAAAGAGAACTAGAAAGTGTTATAAAAACTGTGAGTTATCTCTCATAAAACGCTTCCTTAACATCACTAGCTTGACATTTTATGGAGCTCTCACTCCAAAATAACCAAAGAATCAAGAACAGCTGGAGGTTGCTCTAGGAAAACTTCCTCCACATTAGCCTCAAGTGTAGGATTCCCATGGAAAGGCTTTAGGCGATGGCCATTCACTTTAAAAACCTTGTTTGTGGATTCACTTTTTACTTCCACTGCTCCATAGGGAGAAATGGTGGTCACAATGAAAGATTCGATCCATCTAGATCTGAGTTTTCCAGGCATGAGCTTCAAATGGGAATTGAACAGCAAAACCTTTTGACCTATGAAAAACTCCTTCCTTGCTATCCTTCCATCATGAAAGGTCTTTGTTTTCTCCTTATAAATTCTGGAGTTTTCATATGCTTCAAAGCAAAGTTCTTCTAATTCTTGCAAGGGCAGTTTCCTTTGTTCCCCAGTTTTGTCTAGGTCCATATTCCAGGCTCGCACTACCCAATAAGCACGGTGTTCTACTTCCACTGGCAGATGGCAGGTGGCAGACTTTTCCATAGACAATTCTGTAAGGTGACATTCCTAAAGGAGCCTTGTATGTTGTTCTATGAGCCCAAAGAGCATCATCAAGATGCTTGCTCCAGTCTTTCCTATTTGGCTGAACAATCCTTTCCAAAATCTTCTTAATTTTTCTATTGGAGAGCTCAGCCTGTGATAGCTCATATTTTGTTCCCACATTTTTAGTCTTGCTGCATCCTTTGCATATCTTTTCATTCCCTTATTTCTTCCATTTAATATATTTTTGCATTTATCATGTTAATTAGGAATTTTCGTAAATACTATACTTTTGTTAATATTTTCTATTCTGACCTTTAGTTACTAATTTGGCCATAACTTTTTCTGTAGATATCCTTTTTGGCTCATTCTTTTTGCATTGGATTCTTTACTTCTAGGGCTTCAATTTGGACATATGGATCGTGCTATTTGGAGTCTGGAGCTATTTTCTACAAATTTTAGAAGTTTAGGCTTTTAGTTTGACTTTTGTATAGCTTTTGTTTTGCTTTTATTTTGCAGTTTGGTTGTATTTATTTTTGGCCCAGCTTTGGCCCATTCGGTTTTGCTCTTTTAGGACTACTATTTATAGAGGCCAGGGGCTGATTTGGAAGCACCTTTAATTCATTTTTTCCTTTTTCAATTTTGTAATAACTTTCCCGATTCTAATAGAACCTCTGAATTTTTTACCCATTCTCTTCTTCTCTTGCAATTTTTCACTTCGAATTTGCATTGGTCTACATTTTACAATTGAAAGGCGATTAGTTTCTGCAATTTCTAGACAAATTCTTCCATGTTTCTTCTCCAATTACGTTGCCAAAGTCCAGATCGCATTTGTTTAAGACGTTTTTGATGCTCCAAGTTTGTTTTCTGATCTCACACTTTTGCGATTGCATAGAAAGCATTGTTCGATTGAATTGTGCATTGTTCTTAATCGTATAATAAGCAATTGATTAATAGTTTATTGTGCGGGAGAGATTTAAACAATTCAGTTTTCATTCTCAGTTTTGGATTTGTGTGTTTTGGATCTCGGTTTTCATTCACTGCATTTGATTCTCTGCATTTTAATCTTCTGCATTTAATCATAAAACTCCCCCAAACATAAACGTTTTCTGCATAGTTGATATTGAAACAATGTGCATTTGCATCCTTGTGAGAGATGACCTAGGTTGCTCCCTAAACTACATGTTTTTGTGAGGAATTTAGTTAGTTTTGATACCTTAGCGACATGGTTATAAAAAATGGCACCGTTGCTGGGGATGCATTTTGTATTGCTTTGATTCAATGGTGCATTGTGTTTCCTGCATTGTGTGTTTAAAAAAAAAAGAAATTTGATTGTGTTTGTGTAGTTCAATTGTGAATTGTATTGTGTTTTCTGTGTTCTGCATAATGTGCGAATTATATCTGTGATTTGTGTTTAGTTCATTTGCATTGGATTATGTCGTATACTTGTAGCATTGTGCTGTTCTGAATTCTGTAATTGTGTAATTCTGTTCTGTTGACCAACTGTTTTGATTGCATTGTTCATTGTAGTGTGTTTAGTGTCCTATGTTCAGTATAGTTCGTTTGTATTATAATTCTGTTCATTGTAATTTTGTTATGTGGTTGTGGTTGTGCATTGTATTACATATTGTGATTCAGTTCATGTGTGATTAAGTCCAATTCGTGTGGTGTATGTTGCATTACCCTGCTGCTGAAAATAGAAATTAGAAAAACAGAGGACTAGTAGAAATCACTTTGCCTTGCTGATCACACTATTCATCTATTATTCACTGATTTTGAAAAATTCCAAAAAGATAGCAAATGATAGAATTTTGACCTGAATTTTTGTATGCACATTACATTTGATGTCTATAAGTGTGTAGAGTTGGTAGATTTGAAAAATCATTTGTAGAAAAAGAGATGCACTTTGGTGGTGAAGAAAAATTTTGTGCAACTTAAAAGTGCCATAACTTTTGCTAGGAGTATTAGAATTTTTTCCACCAAACATGACTCTGGGGTAGACTAAAATTTCCTATTCACTGCAACCTGCTTTGCTAGTTAAGGTTTCCCCGATTTTCAAAAATCGCATGTTTTTTAAAAATTTTTTATTTTTAATCATTTATTGACCTATTTTTCTTGATTTTAGGCTTCCAGTTTCCATATCAGATCAATTCCAAAAATTCTGAAAATTTTTGTGCTGTTATCCTATACCATATAAAGATTTATCATGGTCTTAGTTCAACCATTGCTTGTGTTTTGATGGTACTTGCTTTGTTAACTAATTATGTCTACTCAGGAAGTGTGTGTTTTTCCTTGTGATTCTAACCTTGCATGACCAGATCTAATCCAGGCACAGTCCACTAATTTGACCCTGAGATTGAGAGGACAAGATTGAGGCTTTTGAAATTGAAGAAAGGGCACCACACTACTCATAGTCAGATTACTTCACAGTCAAGCAACTTGGCAAACAATCAAGAGAGGACTTTGAAGGAGCTTGCTGCCCCTGACATTGGACACCAACCATTGTGTATTCAGATACCACAATTGCAAGAGGGAGTAGCAACTTATGAATTAAAGTCTGGTCTTATTCACTTACTCCCTAAATTTCATGGTCTTGTAGGAGAAGACCCACACAAGCATTTGATGGAATTCCATGTGGTGTGTTCTACCATGCGACCAGTGGATGTGCCTGAGGACTTTGTCAAGATGAAGGCATTTCCATTTTCATTATGTGACATAGCCAAGGACTAGCTGTACCTGCAGCCAACACCAATCTGTACATGGAGTGACATGAAGAGGCAATTTTTAGAAAAATTCTTCCCTGCATCCAGAACAGCAGCAATAAGGAAGGAGATTAGTGGCATTAGACACCTGCAAGGAGAGAGCTTATATGAATACTGGGAGAGGTTCAACAAGCTGTGTTCAACCTGCCCAAACCATCAGATAAATGAGCAACTCTTGATTCAATATTTCTATGAAGGATTGATGCCTGTGGAGCGCAGCATGATTGATGCAGCCAGTGGAGGTGCTCTGATGGACAAGACTCCAACAGCTGCAAGATATTTGATCTCCAACATGGCAGAAAATTCTCAGCAATTTAGTTCCAGAAATCTTACCACTAGAGTTGTACATGAGGCATCCACAAGCAGTATTGCTGCAGTTGATAACCAAAGGCTGGAAAACAAGCTTACAGAATTGACTTCTTTGGTGAGGCAATTAGCCATAGGCCAGACAGTTCCACAGATCCATCAGACGTGTGGCATTTGTGCAGGTGACCATTATACTGATTCTTGCCCTCAGCTGCAGGAGACAGCCCATCCTTCTCATTTGGTAGCAGGCATACACCCTCCTTACACGAGTCACTAGCAGGAACCTCAGCAATATAACCCTTTTTCCCCTACATACAATCCAGGGTGGAGAAATCATCCCAATCTGAGGTATGGTCCACCAGCACCACAACAACAGCAGAAGTATGTGTACCAGCAGCAGCCTACACACCCCTCATACCACCAGCCACAACATCACCCTGTGCAGCAGCAGCAACCAAAGTATCTGCCTCCTCCTATGAGACAACAGCAGCAGCCTGCATAGCAAAATCAGGCTCAACAACAACCTCCTCCACAGCCTAGCAGTAGTGGACCTTCCTTAGAGGAGTTGATGAGTCAAATGGCCACTCAAAGTCTGCAGTTTCAGTAGAACGTTTCAGCCACCATTCAGGACTTACATACCCAAATTAGACAGCTAGCAACTTCAGTGAATAATTTACAGCAGCAAGGGTCTGCAGCACTTCCTTCTCAGCCTGTAGTTAATCCAAAAGGTAATGTAAGTGCTATTACTTTAAGAAGTGGCAAGGAACTGACCAATTGTCCAGTGCAGGCCAGTGAAGGTAGTGGAAGTGAAGAGGGAGTCCGAGAGAATTTAGCACAGCAGCAGATTCCCCTTCCTTTCCCAACCAGAGTTCTTCCACCAAAGAAAATAGAAATAGATCAAGAGTTGCTGGACACCTTCAAGAAGGTGGAGATTAATATTCCTCTGCTGGATGCCATCAAACAGATTCCTCGATATGCGAAATTCTTGAAGGAGCTCTGTACTTATAAGAGGAACTTGAAGAAGAGAAATGTCCAGACAGTTTCTTCCTTGTCCCAGTCTAGCCTTCCACAGAAATGTGGTGATCCAGGAACTTTCTCCATTCCTGCACAATTAGAGAGTCCTCTTTTGCTAGTACCTTGTTGGATTTGGGAGCTTCTATTAATGTTATGCCTTCATCCGTATATAAGATGTTGCATTTGGGAGACTTGAAACCAACCAATATGATTATCCAGTTAGCAAACCGAAGCACAACTCAGCCCTTGGGAGTGCTCGAAGACGTGTTGGTAAAAGTTAACCAATTGATTTTTCTGGCTGATTTTTACATTCTTGATATGCAGGATGAGAACTCGACCTTGATTCTGGATAGACCATTCTTGATGACTGCGAGACAAAGATTGATGTCCATACTGGCACACTGTCCATGGAGTTTGGAGATGACACAGTTCATTTCAATATCTTTGATGCCATGAGACATCTGGCTGAGAGCCATTCGATGCTTTCTGAGAGTTTTGATTTTTCTGTTTTTCTTATTAATGTAGTAGATAGAAATTCTGATTTAGATTCTGATACAGTTCATGTAGTTGATTTTGATTTTGATTTTGATATAGTTGATGTAGTTGATTCTGATATTGATGTTGCTGTAGATTCAGATTTTGACTTGTCTCAATTTTCAGACTTAGATTTAGATGCTTTACCAGGATGCACCTGTGATAGTGGAATTTGTTCCATTTGCGCTGAGATTAATACTGCCATATCTTCTACTGTTTTGCCTTCCATTGCAGGTGCAGATCCAGATTCTGTGATATCGATGGCTGCTGTAGCCCTACAGTCTCCATTATCAGTTATTCAGCAGCAGCCAGGTTCATTGGAGTTGAGCCCTCTGCCAAATCACCTTAAATATGCTTATCTGGATGCAGAACAGCAAAGATTTCTGGTAATTATATCTAGCAGCCTTCTGGAGGATCAGGAAGAGAAGTTGCTGCAAGTTCTAAAGGTGCACAAGAAAGCCATCGGTTGGAGCTTGAATGACATTCCTGGAATCAGTCCAGCCGTATGTATGCATAGGATTCACTTGGAGTATGAGTCTAGACCAGTAAGGTAGCCCCAAAGATGACTCAACCCTACCATTCTAGATGTAGTGAAGAAGGAGGTGACCAAGCTACTGATGGCTGGGATCATCTACCCCATTTCTGATAGTACATGGATTTCACCTGTCCAAGTGGTGCCTAAGAAGTCTGGGATTACTGTAGTGCAGAACCAAGAGAATGAGATGGTTGCCACCAGAGTCGCCAACAAATGGAGAGTGTGTATTGACTATAGGCGACTAAACCAGGCTACTAGAAAGGACCATTTCCCTCTTCCATTCATTGATCAGGTCATTGAGAGGCTGGCAGGCAAATCCCATTACTGCTTTCTGGATGGTTTCTCTGGTTACATGCAGATTCATATTGCTCCTGAGGACCAGCACAAGACCACTTTCACCTGTCCTTTTGGCACTTTTGCCTATAAAAGGATGCCATTTAGTCTATGCAATGCACCTGCTACTTTTTAGAGGTGTATGTTGAGTGTCTTTTCTGATTTAATTGATAATTGCATAGAGGTGTTTATGGATGACTTTACTGTTTACAGTTCTTCATTTGATTCATGTCTGCATAGCTTAACCAGGGTGTTAGAAAGATGTGTTGAAACTAATCTTGTGCTTAATTATGAGAAATGCCATTTTATGGTAAAGGAAGGTGTAGTTTTAGGACATCTTATTTCTGAAAGAGGAATACAAGTTGATAAGGCAAAAATTGATGTTATTTCTTCTCTATCTTACCCCGCGTCTGTGCGGGAGGTACGTTCTTTCCTTGGACATGTAGGTTTTTACAGACGATTTATCAGAAATTTCAGTACCATTGCACTACCGCTGTCCAGTCTTCTGTAAAAAGACGTATCGTTCTTATTCTCAGATTCGTGTAAGGAGGCGTTCGAGGAGTTGAGGAGGAGACTCACCACAGCACCTATCATGCAGCCACCAGATTGGGAGCTCCCTTTCAAGTTGATGTGTGACGCCTCTGACTTTTCTCTTGGAGCTGTATTATCTCAGAGAGTCGGTAAATTTTTGCATGTTATTGCCTATGCCCCTAGAACTCTCGATGCAGCCCAGATAAATTATACCACCACTGAGAAGGAGCTGCTAGCTATTGTTTTTGCACTAGATAAATTATGTTCTTATCTGCTTGGCTCCAAAATTACTGTCTTTACAGATCACGCTGCACTGAAATTCCTATTGAAGAAGCCGAATGCGAAACCTAGATTGATTCGATATATGCTTCTTCTGCAGGAATTTGATATTGAGATAATAGACAGAAGTGGTGTATTGAATCAGGTTGCTAATCACTTGAGCCGTATTGAAGGGACTGTTGACCCTTTACCTATTCGTGATAGTTTTCCTGATGATTATTTATTTACTCTGAACTTTATAGACTCTATTCCTTGGTTTGCTGATATTGTGAATTATTTGGTTACTTCTGTTGTACCTCCTGATGCATCTAGAAGTATAGGGTTACACACAGAGTTGCTACACCATATCATCCCCAAACTAATAGGCAAGCTGAGGTATTCAATAGGGAAGTCAAGCACCTGTTGCAGAAATTAGTGCACCCGAATAGGAAGGATTGGAGTAAGTTTTTGGATGATGCTCTCTGGGCTCAGAGGACGGCTTATCGGACACCATTAGGCATGTCTCCATTTCGAGTGGTGTTTGGTAAAGCATGCCACCTTCCGGTCGAAATTGAGCATCAATCATATTGGGCTGTAAAGAGTTGTAACTTAGCACTTGAGCAGGCTGGAATTGAAAGAAAGCTCCAGCTTCAGGAGCTTGATGAAATACGCTTGCAAGCCTATAAGAATTCTAGATTATATAAAGAGAAAGTTAGGAGATTTCATGATACACATATTCTGAGGAAAGAGTTCTCTGTAGGCCAGAAAGTGTTATTGTTTAACTCTCGATTGAAATTGATTGCAGGTAAGCTTCGATCTAGATAGGATGGACCTTTTGTGATTACTCATGTTTTTCCCCATGGTGCAATTGAGATTCAGGATGAAGCTACGAGCAGGACTTTTAAAGTCAATGGTTATCAGCTAAAACTATTCCAGGAGAGTAGACCAGTGGAGCCGGCTCAGAACATAGTTGATTTATCCTTAGTGGAGCCTACTTTGATGGAGGATGTGTCTTCTTAGGCACTTAGCATTGTGTTTGGAGCATTGTGTTCTTTGATCTTTGTGTCTTCTCTTTATAGTTTCCTTTACTTGTTCATATATAGTTTTCATTTTATTCTTGGACTGTTTGCATGTGTTGCATTTTATATTTCCTTTTCTCACATTGTGGACAATGTGTGTTTTAAGTGTGGGGGGAGGTAGTCCTTAGCATATTTTTCATTGGATTCCCTTGCTTTTAGAGACTTCATTTTTGTGAGCATCTTTTCATTTGCCATTCTTAGTTAGAAGTTTCATAACTTGATAGATGTGTTTCTTGCATTTTGAGTATTAGCTAGTTTTTCATGATGATTAGGTCTTAGATCATTGATTGGTAGAATGTATGCCTTAGTGAGATTTGAGCTTATCTTCTTTCTTGTGTTATTCACTCATGTTTGTAGGTATTCTAGAACTTGACTTGACTCTTTTTGATGTCATTTGTTCACATGCACTTTTGATATGATTTAGGCCTTCTTTTGATTCTAGCCACTTGGCCAAATTGACTTACCTTGCATATATTTCATTTGTTTTCCCCTTTGAGCCTTGTTGACCTTTTTCTTGATGATTTTGCAGCTCATTACAAGCCATGTAACTTGAAAAACTATGATGTGCCCAACCTTTGGGAATAGATGAGCTTTGGAATTGTTTTGGGAATTGGTTAAAAACAAGTGTGGGGGTGTTTTTGTACATATTGCTTTATTCATGACATTTTGAGCATATTTTGATGCTTTGTAAGTTGATTGGAAAAGTGGATTGTATAGAAACAGTGCAGTACCTACAAAGAAAAAAAAAACTATTATTTTAGCTTTTGTACATTTGTTCTTGTTGAAATAGTTGTGATGTTTTTGCTTTTACTTGTTTTTAATCCATTCCCCATTGCTCTTCTTTTCTCTTTGGTTTTTAGCTTTGTACACTTTCTTTTATCTTACCTTTACCTTAGCCACATTACAAGCTTAATTAAAGTCCTATTGATCTTTGGTGCATGTGTTAAATGGCAGAAATTAGAGGCTTTTCAAGCTTATGGAAATACTTACTTTCATGATGTGCTTTGAGTGAAATTTCTTGCTTAAACACTTGAGAGATTGAGTGATACACATCTTTGTGAGAATTTTACCAATTGTGATCCATAATTTGATTTGATTGAAACACTTCTTTACTTTTAATGTTTGGAGCATATTCTTGATTGTTTTTATTCTTCCATACTTTGATTGCTGGCTGATTTTTGTTGCTCACATTACTTACACTTTGGGATCCATTGAAAATTTTGCTTTGTGTTCATTCCTTTTCTTTTCTTTTCTTTTCTTTTGCTTGGGATTGCAAAAGCTTAAGTGTGGGGGTATTTGATAGCATATATTTTGTTCTCACATTTTTAGTCTTATTGCATCCTTTACATATCTTTTCATTCCCTTATTTCTTCCATTTAATATGTTTTTGCATTTATCATGTTAATTAGGAATTTTCGAAAATACTATACTTTTGTTCATGTTTTCTATTCTGACCTTTAGTTACTAATTTGGCCATAACTTTTTCTGTAGATATCCTTTTTGGCTCATTCTTTTTGGATTGGATTCCTTACTTCTAGGGCTTTAATTTGGACATATGGATCGTGCTATTTGGAGTCCGACGCTATTTTCTATGAATTTTAGAAGTTTAGGCTTTTAGTTTGACTTTTGTATAGCTTTTGTTTTACGGTTTGGTTGTATTTATTTTCGGCCCAGCTTTGGCCCATTCGGTTTTTCTCTTTTAGGACTACTATTTATAGAGGCCAGGGGCTGATTTGGAAGCACCTTTAATTCATTTTTTCATTTTTCAGTTTTGTAATAACTTTCCCGCTTCCAATAGAACCTCTGAATTTTTTACCCATTCTCTTCTTCTCTTGCAATTTTTCACTTCAAATTTGCATTGCTCTACATTTTACAATTGAAAGGCGACTAGTTTCTGCAATTTCCAGACGAATTCTTCCATGTTTCTTCTCCAATTACGTTGCCAAAGTCCAGATCGCATTTGTTCAAGACATTTTTGATGCTCCGAGTTTGTTTTCTGATCTCACACTTTTGCGATTGCATAGAAAGCATTGTTCGATTGAATTGTACATTGTTCTTAATCATATAATAAGCAATTGATTAATTGTTTGTTGTGCGGGAGAGATTTGAACAATTCGGTTTTCATTCTCGGTTTTGGATTTGTGTGTTTTGGATCTCAGTTTTCATTCACTGCATTTGATTCTCTGCATTTTAATCTCCTGCATTTAATAATAAAACTCCCCCAAACATAAACGTTTTCTGCATAATTGATATTGAAACAATGTGCATTTGCATCCTTGTGAAAGATGACCTAGGTTGCTCCCTAAACTACATGTTTTTGTGAGGAATTTAGTTACTTTTGATACCTTAGCGGCATGGTTATCAGCCTGCCCATTGGTTTGGGGATGATAAGGTGTGGATACTTTGTGCACTACTCCATACTTTCTCAGTAGAGTCTCAATGGTTCTATTGCAGAAGTGGGTACCCTGGTCACTAATCAAAGCTTGAGGTACTCTAAACCTACAAAAGAAATGAGTACGCACAAAATCTGCAACCACTCTTGAATCATTAGTTCTTGTGGGCTTAGCCTCTACCCACTTAGAGACATAGTCCACAGCAAGCAAAATATATAAGAAACCAAAGGAAGGAGGGAAAGGACCCATGAAGTTTATACCCCAAACGTCGAATACATCACAGTATAAAATGGATTGTTGAGGCATTTCATGCTTCAAAGTAATCACCCATCCAGTTCTTTGGCATCTCTCACATGTAGAGCACACTTGCCAAGAGTCCTTGAAGATTGTGGGCCAATAAAAACCTGTATCCAATACTTTCCTTG